GTCAAACACAATACAAAGAATGTGAGTAGTTAATAAACCATGTCAAATATACTGAAGTGTTCCAATGTAATCCATTGCATGTCAAACTCCCTCAATATAATGTTTCAGTAGCTGCAAGCATTTTCATGCGCCATGCTCTGTGTATTTAAGCAATGCATTCAAATCAGGTTGGCAAAATAAAGTGGTGACGAATACATTCATGAATGCATGCAAGGCTGTTAATAAGTCATATGTTCAGGAAGCTAAGCAGAAAATAATGTGCCCAAATCAATCATATGAACAGAGCAGCAATATTTATATAGAGAGAGGACTAGAGTACTTAGCTCTTGAACTTGACGAAGATTGTCAATTTAAAATGTTCCATTGATTGTGGATGGTTGTTGTTTGTTGTGCTGCTGGAGTCTACGCATTTCCAGAAACATTTGCATCTCTCTCACGAAAGCACAAATGAGACTCGTACTTTCCCTCAATATACAATATCAATAGATCGATATGCTCATATGCTAGGCTCCTCCTTCGAATTCGTAGAGGCGGAACTGCGAAAGCAATCGCATTCTTCACGACCAACAGATTGATCTTCGGGATCATGACATGCTGAATATCGCGGAAGCTTTGGCGTCGCTCGAAGTGCTTAGGGGGTTGGGGAGACATTCCGATAGATGGCCTGATTCTCTGTAGTACCGAATCATACGTGGATCTTGAACGGAATATTCCCCTCCACCAGCGGTTGCGCGACGTCGTTGGCAGACATGGCCTCCGACACGACGGAGAGGTCGATGGCGCCCCAAACGGCGCTGTAGATGGCGGAGGTGGGACGAACATGGAGCAGGATTATGGCGTCGCCGGGTCGGAGGTAGTTCTAGCCGGACTGCCCACTTCACGGCGTAGGTGCTCTCGTCGCGGAAATCGAAGGCGATGGCGATCAACTTCGATCCACTTCCAGATTCAGCCGCTGAAACAGAAATCTCCTCCGCCGCTGGCTGAATTTTCATCTCATCGGTCTTGGTGGTAACAGAACCGTTAATGAAGTTCAGACCAAAAACGGGTCCCACCAATTCGAACGGGAGGTTTGTTTTGAGCCACTCGCATCGGCTTTGCTCCGATTCGCAGAAGAAGAAGTCGACGAGAAGCATTCGATCTCATCTCCTTCTCCTCCCGGCATCAACTTGTTCCGTCTATTCGTTACTCACATCAGCATCGCCAACACCGAGCGGGTTCTATCGGCCGAATCAGTGCTGATAATTCATTGGGTAAAGCATCGTGCTGATAACGTGTTAAGAGAATATTCAGAATAGACAATAGAAAGATGAGGGAGAAAAGGAGGATAGGTCCATTCATCTGTATTTTTCATATTAAAACAAACATATATATAATATACATTTGTAACGGAAGGTAATAATGGTAGACATAAATGTGACCGTTACATCAGTTACATAATCAACTCATAATGTCCACACTTAATTATATTTATAACACGTTTGAACACTTATCATTGAGTTAGCACTTTTGAGAACAAAATCGAAATAAAAAGTTGTTGAGGCCTTGTTTACTTATTTGTAATATTTTATAATTCCAAATCAGAATCAAATTCCTCTTCTTTCACGTTTGGTGAAACACTTTTCAAATCCTACGTTTGTGTGTGTAAAAATTTAACGTTTTTAAATAATAAACCTAACTGGAATATAGAAGAATCTTTTATGCAAATGAGTAACCCATCAACAATAGTACACTACACAATTATTATATTATATTGGATGCTACTTTTATTTTGGAGTGTTTGCTAAATGGTGAATTTGTTAAAAATTAATTGATTTGGAAAATAGCTTATAGTACGGAGTACCATTTTAGATTTACAAGTTGTACTTATTTAGTTCAAAAGGTTATTTTACTTATTAATTATATTTATATAATTATTAAAAAATACAATTTATTTATATCTGTATTTGAATATATTACCATTAATTTATATCTATATAATAATTTAAAAAGTATAAAATTTAAATCCTATTACTCTGTATTTTCATTTTATTCACATTGTAAGCACACAAGTTTCTCTTTCAGTTGTCAGCAAGTTCCACAATAACAATAATAAATTTTAAATTAAATCAATAGAAAATTTTTATATGAGGTATAAACTTATATAATAATGTACCTGTGAACAAAGAAAATTGAATAAAATATATTAATATTCAAAATTCTGGTTACATTGAGTATCAAGCAGTGTAGGTACAAGTCTCTGGATGGTCCCTCTGGTTCTTTAATTGGATGCCTTGAACACTCCACTACTGAAGGGCCTCCGGAATTCAAGTGGCTTGATCTCCAAAAAGAACTTATATGTTTGTTCTTCATTGAAGGGCCTCCGAGTTCAAATGGCTTGATCTTCATAGAGGTTTGGATCAACATGCATGATCTTCATGGAGAGGGGTATCTACTTTCAGGATCACATTTTTATTGTGATCTCTGAATAATATTTTCAGATAGTTTACATGATTATTTCCCAGGATGCACTATTGGAAATTATAGAATTTCCGACCATCTGAAAGTGATCTTGAAGCAAATTGATACCAAAATGTGGTCGAAAATAGCAACAAAGGTTTTTCCGGATACCAAAAGTGGTCAGAACAAGGCTTTCGACTTGATTTAAGATCACTTTCAGGTGGTCGGAAATTCAATAATTTCCAATAGTGATGTGTGATTACATAGAAATGAAAGACCCTATTTATAGTTGTAGGATAGAGAGTTTTGATAAGTTCAAACTCTTTTGATATTATTTAATTAACAAATTAGATAATATGAATATTATTCAAAATTTTTCAAATATACTAATATTAAAAACTAATCAATATTTATCAAAATTTAAATATCAACCATACCAAACAAATTATTATAAACTATTAATGCTATTAAATGATAAAACCACCAACACACATGTACTAGTTGTCAAATATCTCTTAATTTTCATCAAATGTTAAACAAAATAATAATAATAACGAAATACAAAACCAAGCGGAATGATGAAATCGACAGATAAAAGATGTTGTGAAAATAATGAATGTACTAAAATTAAAATGTATTCTGTACTACAACACAAAATTTGGTGAAGGGTCAAACCGGTACGTCACAATATAAAATAGCACACCAACCACAGTATAGAATATCATTTCTCTTTGGGTTTTAAATGTTTCTTGAAACCATGTCTCTTGTGAATTACAAACAGCTATCCGAAAAAAAAATAAATAAATAAACAAATCGCATTAAGTTAAACCCCATCGTCACTCAATAAACTTTTTAATGTAATAAAATTATCAGTCAAATTTCACGGTAATATTTTGTCCCATGCACAATATTGGAAAAAATAACATAAAATAACATTGTAAGTGATTATTTTGTGGTACAAAAATATGTGAAGTCCATACCCGATTTGAATCGGGTCAGAGTGGATTCGACTTCTCCGTAGTAAAATGAAGAAATCGATATATTATAAGCTCACAACGGATAATGGATGAATGATTGTCAAAATAGATCAATTTGAGTTGGAAAATGAAAATGGAAAGACTTTGGTTTGGAAAAGCATTTGTCCTGCATTAGTTTGGAAAGTGGATTTGCTACTTCATTATGAGAGGCTAGATCATGATTATGCTATTAGTTTTATTTCAAAATGTTAACTTTTTTTAAAAATAAAATGTTAAATTTTAATATGTAAGCAAACTAATTTAAATTTTATGAAGATGTCCTTTTTAGTCCTTTTACATTTATCAACTTATCAAAAAGCTAATTTTACCAAACACTTTCAATCATAACAGCTAGTTTAACAGCTCTTCAGTTTTAACTCCGAGCTTATAGTTTTTCAGCTTTCAGCTCCAGAGCTTATAGCTTTTCAGCTTTCAGCTCCTTTTCAACTTTCAGCTCCTAACTTATACCTTTTCAGCTAGGTTTGCCAAACAGAGCCGATTATATATAAAAATATGTTTAGAAAAGTTGAGTTGTATTGATTTTTTGTCCACGAAGTGTCCTGAGCAAGCCCTAATCGTAGGAGACACCTTTTAAGCCCGTACAATACTCAAACTAATTCTCGTTCACACCAGGCCGGCTCAATTAAGGGGCAAAGTGCTGACCATACGAGAGGAGGTTCAACTCGGCAAATTATATTGTGCACCGCGGTGCATAATCGATTATGCACCGAGCTTTAAAACGACGTCGTTTTGTTTAATGAAAGAAACGACACCCTTTTCGCGCCGTTTCGCTCCGTTTCTCAAAAAGCAACTCTGTTATTCAGTTTCATTTTGTATACACTGCACTGTCAGTTCAACACAACTACAGTTTCATTTCGATATAACTACAGTTTCATTCGATATTTATACACTCAAATATGTGAAAATGTTTTTTAATTTTATTTTATATACACTATAGTTACATTAAAACACAACTACATGATCATTTCAATATAACTACAGCTTCATTGCACAATATACCCTCAAATACGTGAAATGTTATTCAGTTTCATTTTTTTTACATACACTGCAGTTTCATTTTAACACAACTACAATATGATTTTGATATAACTACAGTTTCACTGGGTAATATACACTGAAATATGTGAAATTGTTATTCAATTTCATTTTGTATACATTGCAGTTTCGTTTCAACACAACTACGGTTTCATTTCATTTCAATTGCAGTTTCACTTAATAATATAAATATAATACGTGAGGCAGTGTCAGTTTAGATACACTGTAGTTTCAGTTGGTAATTAATACACAAAAAATACACACTCCGTTAACTGTAACTTCTCGTCATTTCTTTACTCGGCGCCGTTTTTTATCACGGTGCACGATATAACGATCCATTCAACTCTCGACCTCTCTTTAGTGATGAGAGTGTACATCCACTCACACCAACCAAGCTAGTTGTTGTGTTGTATAGTTTAGAGAAGGTCTCTTATGCGCAGAGGGCCCGTGTACCTATTATACCCCTAACACACAATATAAAGGAATCCATAAATGGGAGAAAACAAGGCAGCAGAGATGAAGCTTAAAAGTCCAGCAGAGAGTAAAGAACAGGAAGAAAGGAAGCAAGAAGCTCCAAAGAGAAGTAGTAATAAAGACAGGCATAAAAAGGTGGATGGTAGAGGAAGAAGAATAAGGATGCCGGCCATGTGCGCAGCAAGGATATTTCAGCTGACCAGAGAGTTGGGGCACAAGACTGATGGGGAGACAATCCAGTGGCTTTTACAGCAGGCAGAACCGGCGATCATGGCGGCCACAGGGACGGGGACTATCCCGGCCTCGGCTCTGGCTGTGGCAGCTGCAGGGGGCTCTGTTTCGGAACAGGGGAACTCTGTTTCTGTCTTGAATTTGAATTCGAGGTTGGATGAGTTTGGAGGAATAATTACAAGTGATTGGAGACCCCAGATGCCACCTGACGATGGAGCATGGTCTTTTGTGCAGAACTCGAGCTGCGAGTTGGGGAACCAAATCTTGAATTCTAACCCGAGGTTGGGGTTTCATGGGTTTGAATTCCCAAATCCAGAAAGCTTTAGTCAGGAGGATCTGCCAGGTTTGGAGCTTGGTCTCTCCCAGGAGGGGAGATATGGGACCATCAATTTTCAATCATTGCCACAGTTTTATCAGCGGATGGGGCAGACTGAAAACCCAATGAACCATAACCAAGACTCCCAAGTGGATGATGATGGCCAAGACAGGAGATGATGATGGTCTTATTTGATGAAAAAATGGTCGGCATTCTAAGGAGAATCCAGACATGGTGGTCTGCAAACTAAATCTGCAATGCTTTATTTGGAGCAAAAACCGTGAATCTTTGACACAAGATAAGCCTGTTCTGGTATTCATTCAATCGCGATGGATTATAGAATCTGAATTTTTGCCTACATATATAGAGGTAGATTAGTTATAGAGTGACAACTGTTCTCCATGAAATTGTTAGAATTTGTGTTGAATTGCAATCTAGCTAAAATGTAGGCATGTGCACGGTTCAGGTCCGGTTCAGTTTACAGATTAGTCCACCCGATCGGATTTCGGTTTTCTTAATCCAAGTCCTATCCGACTATTTTTGGACTATATTCCTTTCGGGTTTTTGTGATTCAGATATCGGACGGTTCGGATATCGGTTCGGGTAATTTCGGATTTAATATTCAACAAACATAAGTAAAATACTAGCTAAAATTCCATATCAAACTTAAGTCTGACTCTAAAGATAGAACTATTCAACTATACAAAGTTACTTAGTTAAAGTTATAAATGACAAAAGTGCAAAATGATTTATACAATCATTGAATCATACATTCTGACATTGGAATGCAATTATGCAAACTAAAACTAATGAGCAACATACCAACCCAAAACCATTTCAGACAATGGTGGAAGCATCATCATAGCCAAATCAGTAAAGAGGAATAACATATTGAAAACTTGAGAATAAGGGACTAAGGTAGAGTGACTGTTATTACCAGATGAGATGACATTCATATAGGCAGTAGGCTGATACAGTTATATTCACTTATACCTGATGGGATCATACTTATCATAGGCAACAACAAATCCAACAATTGAATTGTTAGTTAGTTATCAAGCCATTAATCCATAACCTTGCTCTTTAATCCAATTTTTCTCATTGAAAATAAAATCATAATTTAGTGAATAAAGTGTAAATAAAACATTACAAGAATGGTAGGAAGGGGAAAACCAGCAGCCCCAGATCCTGTGGTTCCAATTCGACTTACTCCACTAGCCAAGTCTGCAAAGTGCAAATAAAAACAAATAAGAGGAAATTTCAATTTTGGTCATATGACTATAAAGGTCTTGTTAATTTCAGCCCCTGACTTTCAAAAGTGTCAATTTGTACCTTAACTATGTAATTTTTGTCAGTTTTGGTCACTCCGGCCAAATTGCAGGCCAAATTTCGTCGGAAAATTTTAATAGTTAAAACAATGAGGGTATTTTGGTCATTTCAAGCCTCTTTTCTTCTTCTCCGGCGAGTCCATCCCTTTCTCTCCCATTTTAGGCGTTCTATATCCCTGTAAACCCTATCTTTAATATCATCAAGCTTCCTTTCCGCATCATCTTAGTTCATTGCATTCGCTAGAAACGGGAGAGGAAGGGATGGACTTGCCTGGGAAGAAGAAAAGAGACATGAAATGACCAGAATACCCTCATTATTTTAACAATTAAAATTTTCTGGCGAAATTTGGCTGGCAATTTGACCGGAGTGACCAAAATTGACAAAAATTACATAGTTAAGGTACTAAATTGACACTTTTAAAAGTCTTGGACTGAAATTAACAAGACCCCTATAGTCATATGACCAAAATTGAAATTTCCTCAAACAAATAAATTAGAATTTGAATGCAAAGTTAAAAAGGTAAAAACAGAATGAAAAATTAAAATAAATTACCTTGTTCAAGCTTTTCAAAATCATCAATATTTTCCTCAACCTTAACTGGTTGATTTGGTAACCTCATCCAGTCTTGTGCTCATACTAGGGCCTCCACAATTTTAGGAGTTAAAGAACTCCTAAATGCATCTAATACCCTCCACTAGTACTAAATGTACTTTCTGAGGCAACAGTGAAAATAGGAACTGCTAGGATATCCCTTGCCATTTTGGAGAGAGTAGGAAACCTCTCACTATTTAGCTTCCACCACCTAAGGATATCAAAGTCAGGAGTGTCCTCAACAATTTTTTCACTTAAATAGACTTGAAGCTCTGTTTCTTTATAGCTTCCACTAGCCTCCATTTTTTGCCTTTTTAGTTTGTTCTTTAACATATTTTGAGGTCTACCAATTGTGGTATGAGATTGAACATGAGGCACATCTGGTTGGCTACTAGAAGATGATTGTTGCACATTGACAGAGTAGGTTGCTGCATAGTCACCAAACAATTCTACCATGGCAGCTTGGACATTCTCTAAACACTTCTTCCCATTATCTTTACCATACAGTTCCTCAAACTGGTATGACATATATTCCAACTTATCTCTTGGGTCCAAGATATTGGCAAAGAAGATCAAGGAATTCATTTTTTCAGGATCTCCCCAATACTTTTCAAATTTAGTTTTCATTTGGGATCCCATAACCTAAGAAAACAATGAGTTAAATACAAATAGCCAAACACAAATTCATAAATAATCAGATTAACCACTGAAAATGATAAAATCAAAAATAAGATTTTTCATTACTTTTGTAGCACTACCAGCAACAATCATGCTATTCAACATGCAACTCAAATCAGATATCTCACTGAAGAAACTGTTAGAGGTGACATATAGAGAACCAGAGATTCTAACTGTCATCTCATAAAACCCTTTCAACAGAACTACCAAGCATTCAACAGATGTCTAGTCAAGAAAAAAAGGGACAGAATCACCCAGATCAGCAGCAAATGAGGGCTCATTCAATGAATATGCATCAAACACAGCCTTGTATTGTATGGAAGTGCTAAGCATCATGTAGGTGTTGTTCCATTTTGTTGGAACATCTAGTTGTAAAGAACTTTTGGCTTCCACCCCAAACAGTTCTGCAAGATCTCTGAATTTTTTTAGTCTTGCAGGTGAGTTCCTCATCCATCTAACAGAATCCCTCACCTTCTTAACAGAATTATCTACAAATTTTAACCCATCCTGGACCACCAAGTTTAAAATGTGGGTTATGCATCTCATGTGGATGTACTTACTCCTAACAGTGGTTGCACCCCATGACAACAATTTGGACTTAAAAAAACCCATAGCAGTATCATTGGAAGAAACATTATCTACAGTGACAGAAAAAACATCCATAATCCCCCAGTCAATCAAACAACTCTCTAATGCCTTAGCTATATACTCACCCTTGTGAGAAGAAATATGGACAAAGGATATGATTTTCTTATTCAACTTCCACTGATCATCTATGAAATGGGCTGTAATGCACATATAATTGATCCTCTGCATAGAGGTCCAGGTATCAGTAGTCAAACTAACCCTTTGAGTGTTAAGTCTAAACAGCTTCTTAAGGTTTAATCTTTCATCAAGGTAAATTTGGTAAATGTCCCTTGAAATTGTCCACCTAGAAGGTATACAAAATCTAGGGCAAGCAACCAAAATAAACCTTTTAAACCCTTGCCCCTCCACAAACCTAAATGGAAGCTCATCAATAATTATCATCTCACATAATGCCCCCCTAATGGCTTCCTGATTGAAAATCCAAGTCCCTAACTCCCCAACAACCCCTTCAGAACCCCCCTGAGTATCAAATGTTGTCACAGCAATGAAAGTAAGCAGTGACTGCCTAGTCTCCTTAGAATGTGGATTTTTTAGACAGGCAACCATATGATTTCTTAAAGAGGTAGTGCCATGCTTTTTACTCTCACATTGATAGACTTTAGCACAGTATATACATTTCCCCTTTATTACTTTGTTTTCAGAATCAAAGATCTTTTCAAAATGTTCTCAAACCTTAGATCTAGACTCAACATTCTTCCTCTTCTTTGCAGGAACAGCAGGATTAACCTCAGGCTGTTGAGGAGCATTTGTCTCTGTGCCTTGGGTTACTCCTCCAAGCCCCTCCTCAGTTGAGGGTGGAAGTGCAGATTGAGTCATTTGAGTGGCACTTTCCATCTACAAAGATGGGCACTAGATTTCACTTTTTGGGTTGTGTGAGTGTGACAGAACACTAGAACAGCCACATAATAAACAATTAAACATACAAAGAATCTAGAATTAGACACAGTAGTTTGTGTCATCATTTTTCCAGATTTAACAATTAGCAATTAAGGGTCATACATCCATAAACTGATAAACATAATAACATATACAATTATACAAACAAATCCAAATTCAGGAACTCACTCCAGATCATCATTATCTGGATTTGAGTTAATTGTTAAGGGCTTCCACCAATAAATGGAAATTCCAACATTGGAGATTTCACATTTAAGCCTTTAACTCGGATTGGGAGATTACGAATTTACAAGGCAGAAAATCCAGAATTCACAAAATCAACACTCAGAAATCAGTTTCTAAAAGGCTTCCACCAATAAATGAAATAATGGCATAATATATGAATATATCACCAAATATTCATCACACTCTCACAGAGTTACAGACGACTAGAAGAGACAGAACACAATACATCTCAGTATCTCACATAAATCAAGATATATAAAACTAGGATTTTCGATTTCACAATGCTTTCTCAAAATATTCACTACAGATCATCATAATAATATAATATAACACAAAGTCACAAACATTTCTTAATATAAACTAGGATTTACGAATTACTTGATTTCTCCCAAATAATCCCTGGAGAACAAGGGCTTCTAATCACCAGTTCACCACGGCTTCCACCACTCAGACTCTTAGAGACAGAGAGTAAGAGATTAGAGATTAGAGATTGCAACGCTGAGAAGCCTGAGATTAGAGATTAAGAGATTAGAGATTAGAGATCACAGATTAGAGAGTAAGAGATTAGATACTAGAGACTAGAGAGTAAGAGATTAGAGCTTACAGATTTACAGAATCGGAGATGAGACTTGAGAGAACTGAGACTCTGAGAGAGTGAGAGATGAGATCTCAAACCCTAGGTTAGCTGCGCAGATGGGAGAATGAAGACCAAGTCTACATCCACATGCATATATATCTTGATGGAACGACGTCGTTTAGTACATAGCTTTGTGAACCCTAGGATAGTTCGGATATTCGGACGGGTCAGTTGTCAAATTAGCATACCCCACCCGAACCCTCTTAACCGACGATGTTTTGAAAAGCGGATCGGGTATAGAGAGTCAGGTTCGGGTATTACCGGGTTGGTCTCTCACGGTCGTCGGGTGGGTCGGTTTTGTCGGGTGGGTCGGGTTGTACACAGGCCTACTAAAAGGATAATAATGATAAGGCCTGGAGCATCATATGCTCCACGGTTGTATTTCATCACCCTAGAAATGGCCTCACTACTTCTCCTGCCTTTTCTTGCACTAAGGGTACATTTGAAAATCTGAAAAATATTTGTCGAGAACACATTTAGAAAAAATATATATTTAATTTTTTAATTTTTGTTTGAAGATCAGAAACTATCTTTTTCTATTTGGTGGTAGTGATAATAATAATTCGGAAACAAGTTTAAAAAGATATGAGAGATTAGATAAATACAGTAAATAAAAAATTTAGAAAATTTCTTTCAATTAAAAATTTAAGAAGACATTTTCCGTCAAAACGTGTCTTTTTTTCGTTCATTATAATGAATAATATTTTGATTTTATTTTCCTTGAATACTCAAATATGGAAAAATTCAGAAAATAACATTAGAAAGTCAATTTTTAGGTTTCCAAAGAGAATGACAAACAAATATCACAAAAATTGTCACACTTCATTAGGAATGACAATTCTACCTGCATCCAATGGGTTCCTAGCATCTCTGCCCCTAAGGGTTTTAAAATATCCGCATAACATGGGTAATGAGTGCGGGTATGTGAGGAATTTTGTAAACCCGTGCGGGTATGAGGGCGGGTGCGGGGCGGGATTATATATATTGTTATTAGTATTCATTTATTATATAAGTTTATGTATATTTTATAATTAAAAATGTATAATGAATTAAATTTCTTAGTTTTTTTGTTAATGAAAATTGAATAAGAACAACACCAATAACACAATGAGTAAACACTTAATACAATTTATATTACTAACACAAATTTCGTTTCAATTAAGGATTAACTTCATTAGCTCTTATTAAATTTTAGAGTTATGTTCAAACTTATAAAAAAAATTGTCATAATTAGAATTGTAGTATAAATTTTTTATTAGATTTAAATGTAATATTAATAATTAGAGTTACGGGTTCGGTATCACTCGCACCCACAACTTCTATTATCAAAAATGACAATTTCTAAGTGCCTTTCTTGCTCTGTCACTGGAATACGCATTTTCTTAGTTATCTTTAACTTCAAACTTAGAATGGAGCAAGAAAGAAAGAAAAATATGCCCTAGAAAACTCCACAGCTAGACAAGGTCTAGCTCAATAAATTCAAAAGAGAATTTCAACTATTTGGCTCCCATTAGTATTAGGGGACTGCATTTTCCATGCTCACAACTGCAGGCGCAGGTAAGATACTGCATGAATTTTTATATTGATAAAACAAATGATAAGTGAAAAATATTTTATTTTGATTCAACTAAGGAAAAGTAAAAGGTCTAAAAGTTATAGTTGAAGTTGAAGTTTTCATCTTTAAATGTAAAACCATATGCTTTTAACTCCAATTCCCTGTAACAGATGGTTTCAATACTATGTTTAGGGCTCTAGGAACATTAAACTTTACCAGAATACTACTTGGATAAATTGAGATATTCTCAAATTTATATATTCAAGACAAATTGTGGCATAAACTTATTGTTCTAGCTAGAATATTGTCTTTAGTTCAATTCCCATCCCCTTCAAATGCAACCTAAAATTAAAATTTTAAAACCATATAAATACTTAAAGTGGGACGGATGAAATATTTATCTATTTTTTAAAAGCATAATAAGTGTGAATGAAGGTTATAGCTTTCATTTATGTCCGTTTTTTCCGTTAAGTTTTTTTTTTTAATACATTATGCTATAAAAGTTGTACTATACAATATTTTGGACAAACATACCCTTACCGTTATAATCTCCGTTATCTTTTCCATTATTATTACTATGCATATACATTCACCATATATTTTCTTATCTTCTTCTTCAATAATAATAATAATAATAATAATAATAATAATAATAATAATAATAATAATAATAATAATAATAATAATAATAATAATAATAATAATAATATAACCATTATATATTGGATTTATATGTTAGTTATTTTCTAAAATATAAATATCAAATTTATAAAAATATTTTATATTATTATTATTATTATTATTATTATTATTATTATTATTTACATTAATTTAAATATTTAAAATATAAATAAATTTAAAATTTTAATATAATGTACTAATTTTGGGCATCTATTTTTTGCGCATCGCGCATAAAAAATACTAGTTATCTATACTATATATAAAAACAAAATCATCCATTTTAACTTCCTGCTCAAAAGACTCCTTTGTGTAATATTGTAAAAATATGGTAATACAATTCATATTCATACTACAATTGTACATTAAAATATGGTAATACAATTCCTAATACAATATATTTTTTCCTACTTTCCTATTCCTAATACAATTCTAGATTAAAATTACTAATCATAATAATAATAGTCATCATAATCTATATGCATACTGTTAATAAAAGTAAAATCCTCATCTTCAACTTTCCGCTCAAACTAATATGAATATTAATTAATTGGTAAAAAAATTAATAAAGTTTAATTGGTAACAAAATTTTATATGAAAATTAATTAATATCTAACGAATTGTTATCACAAATTAAAGTCAATATATACTTTAAAGAGTAAATACCCAAAATGGTCCCTCGACTATAGCTAAATTCACAAATTGGTCCTCGACTTTCAATTTCAACCAATTAAGTCCTTAACTTTGAAATTTTGACACGATTTGGTCCTCCATCTATTTGACCGTTTGTTGACCGCGATCTTTGAGGATATATATGTAGTTTCACGTGCAAAGCTCAAGAGAACGCTCTTGGAGGTGACATCGTTGTCTCGGAGGGGGAGGTGCTTCTCCGCTTGCTGCTTGGGGATCCCGAGCCGGTTCAGCTTGTCTACATCGCTTGGAGTCACGGCTTTCGTGAAGAGCCACTCCAGGGACTTCGACGATCTATCTATCAAAAGCTATAATCTCTCCGGCATGGGGTGCAGCGCCGGCAGTGGATTCAAATGTAACAGTGCGGTCTAGAAATGCAACCGGAACCTTAAAAAACCGACGATGGACCATGAAATTACATATATATCCTAAAAAAGCGCAGTCAACAAACGGTCAAATAGAAAAAGGACCAAATTGTGTTAAAATTGCAAAGTTAAGTACTTAATTGGTTGAAATTGAAAGTCGAGGACCAATTTGTGAATTTAGCTATAGTCAAGGGACCATTTTGAGTATTTACTCTACTTTAAAATGGAAAATAGTTACCAAATTTTAAGAATAATTAAACCATTTTAATTGTAAGAATAATGGAAACAACGAATCATTATTGTGTGGACCATGGTCCACACAAGTTGTGTGAATCATATTTTGTCTACTGTAAAATAATGTACACTCAGTACAAAAATAATGTACATTCAATACAAAAATAATATACATTGTATTCAGGGGATGTACATTATTTTTGTTCTGAGTGTACATTATATTGTATAATGTACATCCAGTATAAAAATAATGTTCATTTAGTATAGAGTAAATACCCAAAATGGTCCCTCGACTATAGCTAAATTCACAAATTGGTCCTCAACTTTCAGCTCTCGTCGGAGCACGTGGAGGCCTCTAGGATGACGTTGCACCAGTTCGGAAACACGTCGTCTTCTTCGCTCTGGTACGAATTCAACTACATTGAATCCAAAGGGAGGATGAAGAAGGTGACCGGGTTTGGTAGATTGCTTTCGACAGTGGATTCAAATGTAACGCGGTCTGGAAATGCAACCGGAACCTTAAAAAACCGACGATGGACCATGAAATTACATA